GAGAAAAAGAGCCAATTTTATTTCTGACCTCGCAATATATAGAATTCCAAAAGTGACAGTGGATTGGAGGATGAAATTGCCACCTCTCCAACCACACTGGTCAAACCAACAGCCCATCAATTCCCTCCTCCCACAAAGAAGAATGCAAAACAATCATTATTTACATGAACAGTGCATGAGAACTCCAGTAGAAATATGTAAACATTATCAGAAGGCTAAAGAAGTTTTATGAGAACTTTAAAACTTTCAAAGGAACTGTAAAAGAAAACTTAACACTTTTAAAAATCAAGGCAACAGGTATCGCAAAGGAATTTCTGCTTAATTTGTTTCCCCTTTTCCCCTCCTAAACAAACATGAACTTTAAACCAGAGCTCAAAAAATTGGAGGACAAAAGTGTCACACTGGAGAAATATTGGAAGAGTTAAAAAAGATACACTGAAAAGAAAATGGTCTTTCTTTTTCCTGATGCTGTTTATTGTAAGCTTACATAATTCAAAACACTTTTTTACAGCACACAGAAGTGTCTTGATCCAGTGGTGAAACATGCTTCCTGTGGAACAATATAAGGTCTTATGCAGTGGGCATTTGAATTTTAGAGACAAATGAAGCCATCTTTCTGAGGCCATTTAGACCCACAATAAACAGCAGACCATTTATTTTCTGATTCCTCTAGTATGTCTCTCTTATTTTCATCTTGTTGTAGATTGTAAGTTTGTTAACAAACTGGTTTGGGAGGAAATTAATGTAACTTGGCTACAGGGAATGACAAAAGTCCTTGAGTAGGAGCTTCCCCTGCAGACAAGAAGCCACAGACCAAAGTGACAACGTTCAAGGATCAGTAATTTCCATTAGTCCATGCTCTGTTTCACTTCTTCTAGAAGAGACCTAATCCTAACAAATAATGCTAAAAACCTTTCAGATACTATTTTGAAAAGCACTTGAGACTTCAGAATTCTTGGGGAATAACTGCTCCTCACAAGAACTAAACATTTCATTTGCCTTACAGAAAACTTTTAGAAGTATTGCAACTCTTAGAAAGGCAGAGTGCCTGAATAGGCTCTTCAAAACCACATCTTATCGTGAAGAGATTAGATATCAATCTCTTGTTTTTCAAGTTTGTGCATCAAAAATTTCTTATGCTGCTCAAGAAAAGACCCATTCAGAACTTTGTTCAGCTAGTGATTTAGCAGGTAGGACAATGTAAGCTTTGGAGGTATTTACCTTTCCTGTCAATCCTGGGGGAAGCCTAGATGTCCAACTTGGGTTAGGCTCCTACCTTTCAAACACTTAAGCAGTGCTTGATGGCATGGTTCTGACTATAGGCTGCTTAGAATAAAAGTGATAATGTGCCTATTTTTATTTTTGGCCACTTAAAATCTGTTCTAAAACTGGACTTTCATTCTTGAGCTGATTCGGATACTTGAAAGAATATTCTCAGAAGTCCAGTTTTTATGATAAAAACTTATTTGGAATTAAAAGGAGTCACTATTTCTTTAGCTATTTAAAAGGTAATTAAACACTGGGTAATTTTTCATATAAAAGTGGTGAAAGCAAAAATGCTGCAAATCTTTTCCTTCACACAGTTTACTACATAGAGAAAACTGCATTTTGTGTTTCTTCTACAAAGTTCTCCTAATCAGAGTTCCCTTACAGAGTCAAAAGACGTAATGGCTGAGAGTCCAAATGAATGAGCATATAAAGGGCATATTGACTGCAAGGTGATGTTTTCATAAATAAATTGAGAGATCTGTATTTGTTGCTTGTATTTCACAGCTCTGCTGTAGAGTAGGAAGGCTGTGTGTGTTTGAGCACCCTCCTGGTGTTAGAAAGTGCTCAGCTTTCGAGATGGGACTGGCCTGAAATCTCAGATTCAGGTGCTGCAGTGGCCAAAGTGAACTCTGCCAGTGCCTTGGGCTCATGTTAGTTCTGCCTTGATTCCAGGATTTACCATTAATAACAAGGCATTTTATCTACAGCAAAACACTTCTGTATGTTGAATTTAGAGCATCAGGGGAACAGCTTCTCATTCAGCCACAGCAACAGATTGCCTAAATTAAATGGCACACATTCCCAACAGTTACTGACACCTGACAAACTTGGTAGCAGCTATCTGTTCCATAAGGGATTGTCTTCCAGATGGAAATCACTGAGGTTTCACAAACAGCTCACCAGCAAGGCAGAAGGTTTATTCTGTTTCATGATATTTGTGGAGAATTGTTTAAGCTTGAGGCCTTAAATCAGGAACACACACAACAATCAGTCAGCTGGGAATAGGGTGGGTACCATTTCTGTATCACTGGGATAGGCAGAGGCATATGAATTTCAAGGCACTTATAAACCAAAGGATGCATAACTCCTCTACTTTTCACTCTTCTAGTGGAAGGTGTCCCAGCTCACATCAGGGCATTTAGAACTGGATGATCTTTTAGGTCCCTTCCAAACTAGGCCATTCTAGGATTGTGTTCTCTGATTCCATGCTACTTTTTGTCTGAGCACTGACTGATGATCCTGTAAAACATGCTGGAAAATCACTCAGATGTGCCTGAGATATTCCAAATATGTTTGAAACAAAGGGCAGCTAAATTAATGAAAGGATTCAGGTGGATACCACTGATCTTGAGGTGAAGTTCATCATGAATGTTCTGTCGTACAACAAACGCTGCCGTTGAAAGATATATTAGTGCTTAAAAATGAACAAAACAGGACACTTTGATTTCACCAGTTCCTCCATGAAGTGATACAGATTATAAACAATTACTGAAAGTGCCTCTATGAAACAAATGAATTCCTCTGTTCCTTCAGCTGTGTTTCTTTGTGTTGAGGTAAAACAACATCATAGTCAGTGTGAGTTAGAATTAATCACAGTATTACGAGAAAGATCAGGGGAATTTAACATTAAAAGATAAAGAACATGACTAGAAGGTTAAAAAAATAAAACAGTTGCTTGGACACAGAAATCATGTGGCTATTTTTTAATTACACTAGAACTACAGAGGACTTTCCAGTAAGACCACAGAACTACATAAATAATACATCCTTATCAGCACAGAATGATAATCAACAGATTTATGCATAATTCCAGTTCTGCAACTCAGAAAGAAAGAACAAAAAAGTATAATCACAATGCAGTCGTTAATGAGGCCCTGATAATGCAAGGCCTGTCCCCAAATTGTCTTTATGTGCTGGGACTTGCTCAGTAGGATTATTCAAAGTATTTCTGCAGGAGTGGACTGGGTCAAAAAGTGCTGCTGCCTATTCTCTGTGCTGACTGATACCTGCCAAAAAAAAAAAAAAAAAAAAATTAAAAAAAAATCACCAGTTTTGCAGTCACAGATAGCTGGAATGTATTTATATCTCACTTAATTTATGGACCATCAGCAGCCTACAGGGCCACCAGTGAAGTGGTAATGGAATATATCTTTATCAGAGTTCAAAAAGCTTCACTATTCAGCTGAGTGGAAGGTGGTAAAAGGTTTCCCAATGACAATTGAAAAACGTTTTTATTAAGTTGACCAAAAAGACAGTTTTAATTATCTTTTCGGGTGAGATGGTGCCGTGTATTTTAAATTTCAAATGGACACAAAAAATGCTCTAAAGAAAGCAGGAATGTTACAGATGGTTTATTTATCTGAACTAGTACCTTTTAATCCCTTTTCATTCAAAATTTTGCACTGTGAAAACACCTCACCCTTTGGGAACTTCAGTGAGAGTGGATGAAACACTTTACTTACACAAGAGATGCTTTCAGGTTCAAAGCTGTACAAATGTTAAAGACATTTAAAATAATTTCACCAATTTAATAGACTGTCAAGTAGCCAGGGTATTCACTGTTTTCTTCTTCCACTGTAAGACAAGACACAATGGGGAAAAGTAAGCTGTAGATAAAGGAGAGTTCAGCCAGCCAAAGTTTTCAGCTTTCAGATCTGCCTTAGGTACAGATTCAGTGCAGTGTGTCTGCTCAGCTAAGAGAAGAGGCAGCATTTCTAAAAAACAATCATGTTTTCTCTCATTTTTAAATGTAGGAATTTTTCTGTTTGCTGAGGAACAAAAATACAAACCATGTCCAGAGGGGTAAGTTAGCACATGACAAAAAAAAAAAAAAATTCATGCTGAAGAAAATAATGGCTTTGTTCTTCATTTGTGCATTGCCATCAGTCAAGTCTAAAATCAGATGATCTGCAAGTGCATGGCTTACCCAGGTTTGACTGGTTATTTCCTAACACAGTGATAGAAATGTTAATCCACCAATTTCTTTTCAAACAAGCTGCCAGTTCTGCTTATCTCTCTCAGATATTTCACCCTTTTTTCTCTGTTGCTGTCCATCTCCTCTGCTACAGCAATAGCAGGCAGGAAAATCCCACTAAAATTTGGGAAAATCCACCTTCAGAGGATTTTGTGGACATGCAAATGACATTTTCACTGATTTAACTTTAGAAGTGCTCGTATATTTTGTCCAAAGCACTATGCTCATTTTTAATTCTGCCTTTCTCTTCAAAATGCCACTGATTTTTTAATTTTTTTTTTTATTTTTTTTTTTTTTTTTATCCAGAGTTCTGCCAGGGCAGAGAAGAGAGGGCTGAGCACAGAGCCCTAGCTCCATTTCCAAAAAAAATAAAAAATAAAAAAGTCTGTGGCAGCTGAAGAGGTGAGAGATTTAAGGACAGAGGGCATGGAGTAAAGGTTTAGGGTCTCAGCCTGGTGATGTGAAACCAACAGCTCCTCTTCTTATGGATTCTTTTAAACCTTTGCACCACATCCAGTGGAAGAATAACATTTTCACAAGTAAACAATATTCCATAGAAAAAGTTACCCCAGAAAATTTTTGGGTTGGAAAATTCAATTTTAAAATAGCCATTCCCTTGAATCCAACCCAGTAAAACATCTGAAGAGAAAATTAAAAGCAGAATATACAAGTATTTACCTGCTGTCATTATGTGGCTCATGTTGTAATCTGTATAAGTGTACACTCCAATACAGGGCTCTCTCTTAAATAATATCTCAGTTCAAAACAGACCTTCTAGATTAATTTGCTAGAAAATGAAATACTGAAAAACTGCTTTTAAAAAAGTCAGAGTAAGACAAAACGTGCATTCACCTTCTTGTGCTTTCTGTAAGGAAGTAAGGAACAGTGCAGCAGCTTCAGAAAGGGATAAAGGATTTGTGCTATGGCTGCGTGTTTCTAGAATGAAAAAATCAGAGATGCATGGTTAGTTAGTGCCCTATGCCATTTTTTTACTTTGTTCTTTGCTTTTTTATTATTTCTAGAACTAGAGACTCAAAGACAAGAAAATATTGTCTCCTTCACTCTATAACATTTTCTGCTCAAAACCAGCCTGATAATCAACATGAGAGATTAGCACTCTTTTTAAAAAGGGAGGTTATTACCAAGTCCCTCAGAAGGTAAAAAGAACATTTTCCTTCTTTGTAAGTTCCTAACTTTTTTACAATATTCTGTTCCCTCCAGAAACATTGCCTAGTGTGGATTGATGACGTCTGCTTCTGTTGTTTGTCGCTTCAGCACAATTAATAGCTTGATCTGATTTTTTTTTTTTTTCCCCAGTGCAAGAAGAAAGTCAAAAGCACTGATGAAAATCCCACTTAGCAGCCAGGTCAGTCTGGAAATTATGTAAATGAAATCACACAGGTGCACTGGAGAGGAATGTCAGTCTTTGTCATGTGCTGGGTGGAATGAAGGGACTGAAAAAAGGGGGTTTTGTTGTTTCCTTGGCTGTGATTCCAGGAAAATAAATTCCCTCCCTTTTCCAGGGATTTCCCCCATAACCTGGGAAGGAGGATGGGCTCCACACCCTGTGGTGGTGACTCACCCAGCTGCACTCTGTCATAAATGTCCTTCCTCTGGCTCTCATCTGCGATGAAGCGACGTCCCTCTACAAAAGCAGGTGGACAGGGGTTAAAAGAATCCCCAAACTTGTTGTAATTCCTACTTCAAAATCCCTAAAGGACTCTTTTCAATTTTGTATATGGGCAAGAGCCTTCAATCTCTTTGCTGGACTATAAAGTATTGTCTTTTAAATTGTGTTTTTATTAAAAAAGAATAAAAAAACCATCCCGAATTCCAAACTAACAAAATAAAATCACATTGCTTCCTATGCATCAGGAAGAATGATACAAAGCACACTAGGGAAGTAACACAATGCATTATTAATTTGGAAGAATTTAAAAAAAAAACAAAAAGGGTCAAAATCTTCACTTTAATGACTAGAAATCATTGTATTAACGTCACTAGAACTTTCAGTTATATTTACAGTTGTTTGGAGCTTGTATTTATTTTATGTTGCAATTATTTATATTGTCTCCCTTTTGCATTTCTGTCAGGATTCTGACCTTCTTTTTTTTCCCCTCATTTACAGGGAGTTTTTTCTTCCTCTCTCAGTACCTGCTCTACTCCCTGGTATCTTTTATTTTTAAATCAACAATTTTTCATTATTAATATTTATGTTAAATTTGATGATTTGGATTGAAGGACAAAATCTCTAACTACAGAATAAGAGAATATTCTTGAGTGGGAAGGACCCACAAGGACCTTGAGTCCAACTGTGAAGGGACTGGCCTGTACAGGGACCAAAAGTGTGACCATTACATAATTAGCACCATGCAATTAGCACATCCTCCCTACAAGCCTCAAAACTTCTACCCCCACAGCATCCTCAGGACCTCCTGCTTGTGTGGAACCAAGGAATAATCCAGAGGTGGAGAAAATTATCTCCTCAAAATGGAAAGAGCCTGGGACTTACGTGCACCCTTCAGATAGAGCATGGCCTGAGGAGTCCAGTTTCTCCTTTGGAAATGAGCCTTTATGCCGAAAAAAAGAGGGAAAAGAGACATGTCAACATTCTATGCCATTGCTAATTAGTGCAAATACTTAATGGCACCAAGCTCTGAGCTTCATGAGCTCCAGCCTGAGCTCACCTGAGGGGCACTCCAGGAGAAGGCAATGAAGGACGCTGCCAGGAACAGGGCCAGGGCAGATGCTGGGAGTTTATGCAGCCCCTGTGCACAACAGAGAACTACAAGGTGCAGGAAAAGTCTTTCACATCTGTACATCCTCCCCACTTCACGTCGAAATGTGAGGGTGTTCTCAACTCCTGCCTCATCCCTGTCTTGCTGCCAAACCTCCTCTTGCTCAATGGATGTTTCACACTGATCTGATCAGAGGATTAATGTTAAATTGAACTTTATTCTTTTTACTCAAATCCGTTTCATCCTGGTGAGAGCTGCCATCAAGGTGAGCACCTTTTGTGGTCCTATTTACAAAGGACATCAAATCCTCCAGAAATGAGAATAATGTACAAACTAATGGGTAAAGATTATATAAAATCTACCTTGATTTTACCAAACCGTAGGCAACAAGCAAATGTAGGGGGCTTGTCATTCCAAACAAACAAACCAAGAGACAAAATCTCTACTTCCTCAGGTTTAAAAAAAACAAAAAAGGAAAAAATATTTTTAATTTAGCATCCTATCAATATCAACCATGATTAAAACAAATCACAAGACAAGTTTTTTTTGATTCTTGGATTGAGTTCACTCATGCAGCACATGCAAATGGAAACATTGAGCATGAATCCTCTGTGCACAAGTTGTACCTCTGCTTGTTCACACAGCTCGGCATGTTGTTATTCCTGTATTGGTAACAGTGATGGGCATCAGAGAATCTAACTGGATGTTTCACAGTGGTTCACTTCATCCCGGGTTTCGGAGGTTGTGCTATTGGTGTATTTTTAATGCAGTTGTTTAAAATACATATAATAATATATCTATGTGTGTATTTCTTTCAGGTTATTTTAAAGGAAAATTTCTTAAGCCCCCCTGCAGCTCCTAAATATTGCACTCACATTAAAAAAAAAAAAAAAAAAAAAAGTATTAATTGCAAAGTAAATGTTTGCTACGGACCAAAAAATTCTCACTTACCTTCATACTTATCTCGGTGACAAACCTTCAGTCTTCTTTGCTTGGGATGATGTGTCACAAGCTCTCCTTCCTACATGGCCAGGGGTCCCTTTTTAAATCTTTGGAGTGGAGGTGCCCTCCCCTTCCGTGGCGGGGCAGAGGAGTCTGAAGGGATCTCCTGTCAGCCTTGTAGATGGAGAAGCAGAAGGTCTGATGACTCCTGAGGGAAACCTGCAGCCTTGCAGGAAGTCCTGATTGAAATGATTGAAAGATGGATGCACTTGGAGATGCACCCCATTAAACAGGTGAACACCTCCTGAATACATCAGCATCAGCCCTGTGTGTTTGCAAAGCATCACCTTCCTGCTGGATGATCAATAATCACAGCCAGAGTGGGCATGAATATGGATAGTGAGAGTTTACCCAGGATAATCTACAATACATCAGATTAGCATCCCTTGTGGGAGCTGGAAAAGATGGTAAATCACTCAGCAGCATCAAGACAAAAGTGATTTACCCAGTGTTACTAGCTTGAGGTTATTCCTTGCATACATTCAGAGGATGGAGTCTATGGTTTGAGTCTCTAATCACTGTTTGCATCTAGTTTTTTTACACACAAGTAAAAGTACAAAGCTCAACAAGAGCAAAAACAAAAAAGACCAAAAATACCCAATAAATCCTGACTTCCTAATAGTCAGAAACACTCTTCTGTCTCATGGAGATTGGCTGGAGTAAAATGGGCTTCAGTGGAGCAGTGAACAGAAAAAAAGGCAAAAAGTCAGGAATTAGGGAGGTCATTTCCAAGAGCTACTTCTGGGTGATTGCTGGACTCATTGCAGTCGTGGAGAGTTGGTTTGGTCCTCAGGCAAAGAGTTAATCACTCTTGATGCCTGGCCTTGCTTGCTCTGTAGCCAGGGTTTCATCTCTCCTCCTGTACTTTTTCCTTTGTAAACTCTGAAAATCTGAACTGCCATGTTAGGGGGACAGGTGACCACTGGTTCAAGAACAAAAGCAGGCTCTTGACAGCATCATCTTAAATTAAATGGTTTTACTGCTGTATCATCAGATGCCTCAGTGCCACCAGTGTGTCTAAAAATCAGGAGTTTAGTTGCAACCTGTAGCAAGAGACAGTTGACCTGGACCTTCCACATCAGGTGAAATAAACCCAGTCTCAAATAGAATTACCATAATGGTTTGGGGATTTGCTGGTTTTGGCTTTTTCTTTTTTTTTTTCTTTTTTAATTTTCAAACTGTTTTTATTTTTCCCTTAAATTATAACTCATAGTTCTAAATACATTTATTTTTACTATGACCAGTGACTCCAAGTTGCTTCAATTTTCAAATAAAAGTGTATTTCACAACGTTCTCCTTGGAGATCTGTAAGGAGTCTGCATGCAGAACAAATAACTCCAGGTTTGTCAATTCTACTTCAGGGATCAAAATTTTTAGAAATCAGCTCCTCCCTTTTTCTTACCATGATTCTGTGAAGATGTGGCCATCTTACCCTTCCCAGAACTCCAGCCATTTCTAGGATGGGACACAGTTTATTTGTAAACAGGGACAGGAGGCAATGTTTTGGGGAGGCACTGCAGCCACTGGGAGTGTTTGCATTCTCAAAAGAACTGTGGCTGTGTGTGGGCACATGTGAGCTCGTACTCTTGAAAAACGAAGCAGCCCATAACTGGGTTATGGATCATAACACACTAAAAAACTGTGGCACTTTGGGATGATGAGCTGTGCACCCAACACTCACTGTCAGCGCTGCCATTTCTCAGCTGATTCACCTGGAGGAGGAAGTGGCTCTGGCATGTAATCAATACCCTGAGAGAGAAAAGTAGAGGGAAGCTTGCTATAGCAGCAGGACCCCTTATTAGAAAGAACATAACCTATTCCTATTTTTTGAGATGATCTAAAGGGCACAGGCTGCATATCCTGATGCTGTGAGTGATAAAAAGCTGATTCCTGGCATTGAACTTCAGCTCTGAGGTGAGGGAAAAATGTTCTCCTCTTTGAACCAATGGGGTCAGACTTACCTCACTGACTTGCATCACGACTGTGCACTTTCCCAAATATTTCCCTGGAAATACAGGATGCAGTCATTGTATCCTGGTAAGGGCAGCAGTGATCCATGGCTTGCTCCTGAGGGAAAGGTGCAGCTGGGGTGTGTGTAGGTGGTCAGTGGGTACGTCAGCAAACACTGCTGCTGTCAAGATATAAATCTCCCAGAACTTATGACCTTTGCTTTGTGATTATTCTCATTTCCTTTGGGATTTTTTTTTCCCCCTCTTAGTTTGGTAACGCTCTGGCAAATCCATCCCACTTCTGTCTGGCAGCACCTAGCACAGTGTCCTTCTGCCTCCTGCATGCTACTACAGCATCATAAAAGGCTGTGGAATGTCATGGCAGAGCCTGCAAGGTAGGAAATTACAAAGCATTTTGCGTTTCATTTGCAGCAAATTGCATAGTAAGGCAAGCTTTCTACCAGTAGCTGTGGGAATCCAGGGCATCCCTCTGGCTGCCCTGGAAGGTCTGGGACCCTGGCAGGGGTCAGGAACCCCCCTGGACAGAGCCCCCAGAGACACTGTCTGTGATCTCTGTCCATGGAAAAGAGTTTTCAATCTCACAGGATGAATTACAAGCTCTGAGAGCTTGATATAAGTAATAATTAAGTGTAGCACGGGTGCAAAAGTAAAATTTTAGGATTCTAGATTAGGGGTTCAAAGGGGACAAGATGGAGGAATTGGGTGTGTCTTGTCCTTTTTCTCCTTCTTCATGCCCTCCATGTTTCACTGTAGTGTTGGCATTTTTCTATTGGTTTAGGCTGGGGACACACTGTTCAATGTAGGTGACAGATATTGGCACATTATTGTAAATCCAGCACAGGTAGTTTCTGGTATTTAATGTTTGTACCATCCCACTGAGGGCAGAGCCCCACACGCTGCCCTGCAGGACAGAGCTGCGGCAGGGCAGCAGAACATGTTAGAGATAAACAGAATAAACAACCTTGAAACCAGCACAGACAAATTATGGCTTCTTCTTTGGCAACGGGGCAGAGAGACAGAGACTTTCTACAATCTCGGGATCATCAATACCACAGATTCCAACAAGTAGCAAAGTCAAATATAGATTGCCCTGGAAAGATATTGATTTGTTATCACTGAGAAACTCAGAGAATAGATTAGACAATCCTTTTTTAAGGCTCATTGCCCAACTGATTCTGCCCAGACACATGGTTATGAACCGTATGACCTCTTCTTTTTGGGCTGTTGTTTTGTGTTTCTGTAATCTTTCAAAGCTGATTCTGGACTTGAACCCCATATATCCCACGCAGACTAAGGGGAAATGTGTTTACAAGCTCCATATTTGCCCTGTACAACCTTTTGACCAAAACAACCCAATCTGCAATCCATCAATACATTTTATGCTGTGCAAACATGTTTTTCAGTGTTATTTATTTTCATAATATACCTTTATTTACAGAACCATGGAATAGTTTGGGTTGGAAGACACCTTTAAATGCCACCTAGGCCACCCCCCCACAATGTAAGTAGGGATGTCTTCAACTTCTCTGGGAAGGTGAATTTTCATGGTGCAGCTCTGAAGGAAAGAGATGCTCTCTGGTGTGTGATTAGAGAGGCCATCTGTGGCTGGCCCAAATTTATTTAACTATTCTGTTGCACATTCAGCATCACAAATGTCCTTGGGTGTGTTTCAGGCACTGCAGATTTGCTGGAGAAGCTTTTTTGACTTTTCTCTAGACTGTATGAGAAGAATTGTGCTAAAAACTGCTTGAGGTGGAGAACAGGGTGTGGAAAATCCATTCTGTCAGAGAAAATGTAAATTCCTTACTCAAGAGAGGTAACAGGGACTTTGCTGAGGATTAATGTGTGAGCAATGCTAGAGCCAGGCCCAGGTTCTACTGCTCTCACAAAGAGAAGCAGCTCCAAGGGACAATTCTAAGAAGAATTTAACTATATTATGTGGGGTGAGGGGTGTTTGAAAGCATCAGGAAAGAGCAGAAATCCACAAATTTTTGAAAGGTGCAAGCACCTCAGAAAGAGGTGTTACTTCTGAAGTTCAGTGAACCACAGGTTGGTACAATATTTTTTTTTCCCAAGCAATGGACAAGTCTGAAGCAAGCACCAGGTGAAAAGACCAGCTTAAAAAAAACCAGTTTTCTCCAGTCTGCAGGCTGAAAAGGAGATGTGGCCATGTAAGAATGGGCATTTACAGGGTAATTTAGCAGGAGCCATACAGCTCTTGAGACAGGTAGGCTCTACTGCACGTCTTGATAATTTAATACAAAAAAGAGGAATTAGTTAAGGGTCCTAATGACATTTTTTTTTCACAGAACCAAGGGCAGAGATGACAGCTAAGACAGAGAGAGTATTTAATACACTATCAGCTCAAGAGACTTCAACACTTTCTTGCTTTCAAAAGTGGTGAGAGTGATGAAATTTATACAGCTCCCAAATTCCCTGTTCTAACTCTCAGAAATTAGGAGACATCTGCTCCTGTTTGAAATTTTGCTGTAGGTGGAAAAAGCAGGTAAGAACTGCTAATAGAAGTGAGAAACACCCCAGGAACCAGGATTTTGACACAGCAATAACCTGTATCACAACGTTTCTTGCTGTTTTAAGCAATAATTAGAAGACCGGGGAGACTTCAAGTTGCACTGAAATTACAGACAATTAATTTAACAGCTGCAGGAGAGATGTGATGGGGGGAAAAAAGTAAAAAGGGCAGGAAGCAGGAGCCTGATGCTTGATTAGAAACCAGGTGCAGCTGGTGGTCCCTCGCAGCTGAGAGGCAGCAGCTGTACCTTGTAAAGCTGATTTTCCAGCAGAATAGCTCATTTAAACGCTGAAGTTCACTTAGCTACTACTCCTCAGAGGAATAGCTAAAGTAGCTGTGCTGGCTCCTTCAGAGAAGGAAGAGAAGTTATTTTTCCACTCGCTCATGTAAGTATAAGGTCTTGGGCTGTGTTTTTTGTTAGTTGTTTTGGTTATTTTTTTACTGGTAAATTACAGGAAAAAAAAATGCCCTTTAATAGAGTGTTATTTATATCTGCTTGAAGGCTCTTATGTGCTTCAAGAACAGCCCTAAACTAATTGGAAGGTATTTAAATTTTAATTTAAAGGTGATTAATCTCTTTAGAGATAATACATGTGTAGTAATACATCTCTAATAAAGAAGATTGCTTCCAATTCCTGGCATTCATTTGAGGAGTAAATATTTTGAGTGAGACATAGTTAAAAAGTAGTCCCTTCTCTAAAATTGCTCTGAGCTTCTTTTTATTCTTATTTTTTGCAGTATCCCTGTGGCTAAGGACATGTTCATTGGAGTAAATGTTACTAGAAAAATAAACTTAGAGATCTTGCCTCTGCTTATCTGAGCTAAGATGCTGCCATGCAGGCAGCCTGTAATAAACCAGCTTAAATTAAACACTTAGTGTTTATGTTTATTTCAATTGAGGTTAATAAGGACTTATATATAATTTTATTCCTTGCTTCAAAAGATTATGTAAGTGTTAAGTGCTAGTGAAGCCTTCTGTTGTTGTGGGGGAAAGGAATTAATTTTTCTACATAAAAAAAAATTACTTAAAATTTTATTATTGAGAACTTCATTCACATTCACTGGGTATGTTTTATTGTTATTTAATAAAATAACTCCCAGGTGAGCAGTTCAGGTGGTTGCAATGTGCAGGGTAGACATGGGAACCTCCCTGGAAATGAGGATTTATCCCTGCAAAATTAACCTCCCATGCCTTAGTCATATGAAAATGTGCTTATCTTGTAGGAAATACCTTTTAAATATTGTCTGGGAGACTAGATAATGAAAATACACACAGGATGAGGTGCTTCTGTAGGGCGTATTTCTTGTGTGATTCCTAGTGTGGCACTATGGCAGCTGTGGCTGATTAGCACAAGGAGCACTGGATTTAGAAGAATTTTTTGTTCTTGTAGGCTCACAAAAATGCTGAAAGTCTTGTTGGTCTCACTTTTTCTGCCCCATCCCTGCCAACCCCAGTGCAATTAAAGTGCTTCCTTTAATTTAAAAACTCCTCTGCTAATTTGCAGGGTGTTCTTAAGTTTTTCTTTTCATTCCCCCTCACCTCCCTGCCATGGTTATAGCATTTAAGAATAAGCAGTGAGATTTCAGGAAGTATTTGTGTCTTTCTTCCCCAGCTTGTCCACATCAACTTCTAGTTCCCTGGACAGAAGAATGTCCTGGCTGAAAGTTTCTGTCACAGCTGATAAGTGGAACAAGGGTTTTCAAACACCTGGATGCCAAAGCAGCCAAGTGGAAGAATTGGCATGAATATGTGTGTGTGCTAATCCCCCTGACTCTTGTATCTTGTGCCTATTCTTTCCAGATATAGGGCAAGGGAAGAGAAACTATGAAGTCTTTTGAGCGTGGAGCTAAGAAACGGCACCACAACCCGGTGGACAGCATCTGCAGGAAGATCAAATCCATCCAAATGATGGACCAAGTCTCCAACCCAGCCTTACAGATACCAAAATTTCAGTCCCAGAACTTCGACAGCCCACAGAGCAATACTAAAAAAAACCTGGAGGAAATCCTGAAAAGGAGAACCCGCAGGAGTTGTGGGAGCTCTTGCTCACCTGTGGTCAGCCTTGACAGTGACAATGTTTTCTTTGCCAACTTGCCTGGTTTGGGGGCCAGCTCTGGCTCCCACACTGCAAACAGAACCTATTCCATCCTGGAAAGCTGTGAGAGACCCAGCAGCTCGTGGGTGCCTTCCTCTCCAGTGGACACCTCCTCTCCATTCTGCTTTGGAGCCAGGGAGGCCAATGCCCAGCACAAAGCCCAGCGTAAAGACGCGCGGCCCGAGCAGAAATATCTGACCTCAAGTCCGAATTTGTGTGTCTTCACATCTGAAAAAAAGCCAGGAAGTTCTGGGGTCCAGCCTCCTGTGCCAAAGACATTTCCCTCAAGTGAAGGAGGTAAAGATACTGAAGAAAAACACCCCCTAATTTGCAGTTCCAGGCATCTCAAATTCAGCCTATTTATTTACCACTTAAACTGGTAAAACGTACTTTAGTAGCGCTCAAGTTCTTAGGAGACTGCAAAAAGAGCTGAGTCAAATCTTAAGTTTTCTCTAAAAAATATTAATATGAGTGTAAAAAGCGAGGAATTAATAAGGCAAACATGTTTTTCAAATTTGCTAATTCATTTTTGGTTTGACAGATAAAGATGTTTTTTAACAGTTTAAGAGACTGAGACTACTATTTGGTTATTATTCTAGCATTTTTTTTAATAGCCAAATTTTATCTGGCTCTTAATTTAGCCTATGATTTGTCTATCAGACTGATTTTGAAGATACAGGAGTTTGGGTGTTGCTCTTAGTTTGGTTTTTTTGTTTGTTTTAGGGATTATTTTCTTAATAAGTTAACTCTAATGATTTCCCTAAAATATATCTGAAGGGTGAGGGAAGAAATACCTGGCTTCTTAAAATGTCCAGTTTCATATGTTTACTCTATAGAAAGAATAAGCAACTTTTTCCAAAACTACGTGTATAAAAGTCAATGCATGGACTATTTCCCAGCTCAGAGGCTCCAACTATGACCAGTTCCTGTGTTGTTTAGCACTAAAAGCTCTGGTTTTTTTGGAGAGGGAACTGGTTAGCTGGTTTTGTTGCTTCAGTCATCTGGGGTGGAAGTTGCCATCAGCAAATAAAGATGGGCAATAACAGGTTTGTTCCTCGCAGGAGTGGGGCAGACTGTGGGGTACAAAGCTGACAATATTTACGACGTGAGCTTGATCTGTGAAGAGAACCTGCTGACCACCATCTTCTGTGCATGTGACATCCACCACACAGGTTTGCCAGGTTTTTTTCATTGCTCTCTCTTGTTATCCTCTCAATGGATTTCCAAGGTTCAAATTGTGTTTTGGTCCCTGAGAGATGCCAGGCTCTGAGATGTGCGGGTGCCTGTGTTGTGGAAGATGTAGAATAAATATCTAAATGCCTGTGCCTCTTTTGAATTGTGCCTGAACATTCCCCTGCTAATCTTTGCAGTGCTTTAGCACAGGGGAAAGAGGGGAGCGACACATGTCTTGCAGTTACCTTATTGCAAGTGACTGTTTCTTCCTTTCAGCCTTTATCCTGTTAGAAACTTGGGAAACTTCAGAGCAAGAGACAATTCCTCACAGTTCCACCTCAGACATGACTATAAGTGGTAGAATCATGGAATGGTTTGGGTTGGAAGGGACCTTAAAGATCATCTAATTCCATGCCCCTGCCATGGGCAGGGACACCTTCCCCTGTTCCAGGTTGCTCAGAGCCCTCTCCAGCCTGGCCCTGAGAGCAAGGACCAGTATCACATGTCAACTTGGGTTCCTCTTAACCTGAAGTTCACAAAACCAGTAAACTGGATTTTTAGACAGAAAAAACCAAAAACCCACCACTACAAAAAAAAACCTCAACCCAACAAAAAAGAGCTCTAAACTACTTTTTTTCCTAGTTCCTCTAACTGGTTCAGGAATCAGTTGCTTGTCTGCAGCCCTTGAGGGCAGCTGGATACGATGCAGTTCAGTAGTGTGGCCCTGCTTGTACAGTTTTTTTTTATGGTGCTTTGCCAGGCTTTGGCATCTGACCTCTGCTTCTGTTTTAGGAAAAGTGGCAGTGTCTAAGATAGTTGATTATTTGAGACATACAACCAGCCGGGAATCAGGGGACAGTGGTCTTGAAGAGCTGTGCAACAAGCTTGACCCTGAGCACAAAGATATCTCCATGGACCTGGAAACCTATCATGCCATCATGGGGGAGTGGATTGAAGACTGTAAGAGAAAATGGTAACTTATTTTAATAAATCTGCTATGGAAAAAGGTCTTTATAATCTTCCCCTGTGGCTCTGAAAAGAAAGTGGTATTGGGACACCATGTCTACAACATTGGGTTTGGCTGAAGTTTTGGAAGTGTTGCAAAGCTGGTAAGCAGCTCAGTGTCCTGCTGATTTTGTGACCCTTGATACTCCCTTCTTTCAGGGAAGACGGTACTACTGAGAAATCATCATCAAGCACAGAAGACTTGGAATCTCAAGTACCTAAAAACATCTCTGAAGGTGCAGAACATTTTATTCTGTTTCTGTTCAGGAAAGCTCCACTTTCTTGCTCTATAACCAAAACCCCCATCTTTTTCAGCCAAGAAGATGCATGTCCAGATGAATGTTACGTCAGGAAGCCTGGAGGCCTTTGGGGGTGATGTATCTAAAGGAGATATGTGAGTCCTTTTAAGCAATTCTTTCTCAGAATATAGAACTCCTAGCTTTCCACTTGACAGAAATTCCAAGAACCTTTATTTCAGAACATTATCCTTGGGGTTTTTAATGCTCACCTCAGCCTGCAGGAGCTCTTGATGCTGTCACCTTCCTCACAGCTTCTGCTCAGACTTAAAATACAACCAGTACTTCTTCCTACTGATATCTTGGTGCTTCTCTGTCCATCTGACTTTTTAATCTGTGGTCAGATGTTTGTTGTCTTTCCCTGTTTAAACTGGTTCCTTCCCTCCACCAAATTCTTATTGTCAGACAGCTACAGCCTGAAAATCTCGTCTTGAATTGTGGTTGTTTTTTCTTATGATATGGACTTTGTTGAGGTGGTTTTTTTGAGTTGTTTTTTATGGTTTTTTTGGGGTTTTTTTTTGTAGTAGTAGCAATGTCTATGATTTCGACTGTTAATGGCCAAATACTTAACAAAGAGCAGAAGTTTCATTTGCAGTTTATGCCAAGTCAGAAATCCAACATCTGCTCTCTAAAGCTTCCCTATAATTTTTCAGGATCTCAAAAAAAAAAAATTATCCTCATTCAAGTTTTGGTTGAAAGCATAATGTGGGGGATAGCCTGGGGGAAAAGAAAGGACCCAGAAATTGCAGAGTGACTACAGAAACATCATTAGTGGCCCAAGAGGTGACCAACAAAATCTTAAAGCACTTTCATGTTGGCATCCAGCTGTGGCACCTTCTGACAGCAAACTCCAGTTGTAGGGAGCAGAAAAATATTTTAAACCAAAAGTTCTTGGTGCCCATAAAACTGGAGAACAGACTTGGCTCCATTATCTCTATGCAGAGCAAATGGCTGCACACTGCAGCATCACAAGTCCTCTGTGGGCTGTCATCAGTGCAGTAGGATCTTCTAAAAGTCTGAAGGAGATAAAAATGACCTTTCTCACTCTTTCCTGGCTTTGTTACTGGGACAGGGAAACCTCTGACTTGATAACCTGTGTTGCGGACCTGCAGTACAACAACCAGAAGCTTCAGGAGGAGAATAACAAGCTGAAGCTCACCCTGGAAACTTTGGATGAGACCAACAGCAAGCTCCTGGCAGATAATGAGCATCTCTGTCAACAATTAAAAAGGTGGGGGACCATGATGGCACCAGGCCTGCCATGGGCAGAGCTGTGATCTTCCAGCCTTGCTTTCATGCTTTTCTCCTCACCATTGCTTTATCACAGTGGTTTTCTTGACTTCATCCAGTATCTGTAAGGTTTAGCCTTCTTGCCTGGTTGTTCTGCTCTATCTCCCCTGGTTCTCATATAATTATTCCTCTCAGAGCCAGGTTCCTGCAGCATGTGGTGGTGTGGGGGCACGCAGGGAAACTCTCAGGCTAAAGCAAATAAACTATATCGCAACAGCAACAATATATAGATATATATTTTAAAAAGGCATAATATTACCAAGAGAAGAGCACTGGAAGACTTCCAATCCTAGACCACATTCTTGTTGCCAAGCAAAGGGGAAATGAGTGTCTAAAAACTATTTTGTTGCACTTTTGATGAACTGGGGTGAGTTGTGCCACTTGTTCAGCCTTTCTGTAGCCTGGGGACATATCAGTGCCATGAGTATGAGCCCATTTTTCGTTGTGTTCATCTGGCCTAATTAATTACACTGGTCAGTGTAATTAATTACACTAATCAATTACATTGGTCACTGCCAAGCTGTTCCCAGGTTTTTCAGGGGAGATTAAGGCAAGAGTTTTTCAGGGTAGCTGGCATGGGGCATGTGCCCATATCCCTGCTCTGGGATGCTCTGCAGGATCAAGTTAGATTGGAAAATGACCTTGCCTGTTGCTTTAATATATGGTTTGGTGTTTAGCAGATTAGGGTAAGGAAAAGGTGCAGAGCTCATCCTTGAATACTGAATTGAAATGGTTTCTCCAGCTGTAAACCATGAAGTGTTGTAAAGATGAATTTGTGCTCAGTTAACTTGATATGTTGAACTGTAACAAGCTGTATTTTTAAGATATTCAACATAGCTTTGTTTGCATCCACCTGTCTTGGATGGGGTATCATTCCTCACTGCAAGGCTGGAAGAGGGTGATAAATAGGAAGCAGAACCATGAGATTTGCTTCCTGGACAGAAATTATGGGCTTAAACTTAATTGTTGCTCTTCTGTTAAGTGTCATGCCAAAAAATAAGTGCCTGGTGGCTTCTAAAAATATTCTGTTTCCAGCCTAGCGAAACAACCAACACTAACTGGCTGAAGTTTCTCTGGATTTGCTTCCCCCTGTGCAGCATCCAGCAGTCTGTGTTGAGAGCCAAATCCCTGGAAGAAGAGCTACAGGAAGCAAGAAACAACCTGAACGTGTCAGAAGAGAAAAGAGAGCAGATTCTTTGGCAGAACAGACAGCTAGTAGGTGTTTTTCCCTCTTGTTTCCCCTGTACAGCACCTCACACCTTGCTGTAACAGTGGTGTGGCTGCTCAGGCTGGTAAAAATGAGGATTAAGACCTTCTCTGTGCCTTAGTGAAGCACCAGCCTCAGCTCTCCCCTTTTTGTGTGCTCTCTGAAACAAAGGGATTCAACACCACAGCAGTGGATGTGTTCATGGTCTGTTGCTTACATGCTAAAACCAACTCTTCTGTTTTTCTATTATTTTTTTTTTCTTTTTTTTTTTTTTTTCCCATGAACTTGATCAGGAAAAAGAAAATCAGTCTCTCAACATCAAAGTTACTTCTCTCCAGGAAGAGGTAAAATAAATCATGATTTGACATCTTCTTGCCTAGCTAAAATTTGCCATTAAGAAATGAAATGCTTGTCACGCTTTGAAGCCTTGCATGCTAATTAGTTTATCAAAATATCTAATGCTTTAAAAGGCTGATTTGTCATAAATTTTATATCTTGAGGTTGCACTGTACTTCATATTTTCCACTTGCTGGGTAAGTAAGGGTATGTGGTTAGGGAAGCATAGGGACAGGGTCAAACTACTTCTCCCCTTGCCACACCACCTTTTTTCCAAGATTTATAGGCAAATTCCATGTGTATTTCTGGTTCCCACAACTATAAATACACAAAATGTATATTGAAACAATCTACATCCAACACTTCATCATTTCAAATTCACTTCTGTTTTCCTCCCTTAAGATCCAAAGGAGGAATCTTGTATAGGGCTGTAACTAAAAAAAAGTAACCAAAATAATTTATAAAAAAATGTTTTGGGTGGGATTTCCACTCACAGATGGATCCATTGACACTGGCCAAGGACCTACAGGAGTTTTTTAGGGAATGCAGCTCCATTAGCAGAGTTATCCCTAGGCTTGATTTTTTTTTTCAGAGAAGAGCTGTTCATCCTTTCTTTTTTTTTCTGCATCAGAGCAACAATTTCATAAACCAGTCTTATCAGGGGATAAAGTTTTTTGATGCTTGCTTACAGACTGAATTTCAGCCTATTCAGGGGGAAATGGAGAAACAGATTAAAGCAAACATAGTAAAGAAAAGCAACACCTTAAGATCATCTTTCTGCAAAGCTCCTTAGTCCAAATAGCAATTAAACCACATCTTTCTGAAAACAATTCTCATGCTGCAGGGCTGACTTTACTTTAGCTTTCCAGGTCTGGCAGTGGTTATAAATCACATTTTGAGGGGTTTTCTCTTTTACCAGTGCTCTGGGTGAGAAAAGGAGCAGAAGCAGTTTTGGTGGGGCAAACAGATGCAATGTATGTGCAAAAATGCTGGTAGTGCTTGAGAGTAGGCAGCAGTTTGGGGGTGGAGATGTCATTTTTGCCTGGTTTCTTCAAGGAGAAGCTGTCAATCCGTTCAGCTGTGCCTAAACACTCTGTGTCTTGTTTAGATTATTAGGAATAGCATGGACACCAACGGGCTGCAAAAGAAGATTTTGGAGTTGTCGAAAAAAACAGCACAGCTTCAAGTAAGCAATTTCAAAGCTGAGAGGAATAAAAAGTCAACCTGGATTTTACTTGGGTCTAGTGAAGGGGGAATTTTTGCTGCTAGAAGGCAATCAGTCCTGAACCTCTCTATGTTGAAGGACTGCACTGAAGTAGTAGTTTGGAGAGTGTGACAGCTTTCACCAAGTTGCTGTCTTGAAGCTAAAAACTAGGCTGATGAAACAATCCACGGTTTCATTATTTCCTCCAAGTTAAACTTTTTTTTGATACCTTGTCCTCACTATTCAAGAAAATACATTGAGGTCATGCTTTGAGAGATGTTGCTGAAAATATTGACCTGGACAGATGAGAGGAAACAAAAGTGACTGAAAATTAAGAATGCTTTCACTCTTTGCTGGATACAAGATCTGTACTTTGAAACAAACACCACACAAGGTATTCAAAGAAGAATTTGATTTTTCTAAGCAAGGAACATTTGATACTCTTTTTCCTTTCCTAGTAGGAAATAGGAACAGACTTTTATTCTGGTCCATAATGATGGCTGGGTTTGCTTTTGATCTTTTCATTCTTCAGATCCAAGCTCATATCTATGAGAGCACTGTGGTGAATAAAGAGGCCAGCCTAATCCAGGTTAGTTGCTTTTGCTTCATTGCCAACTGAAAACCACACAATCACAGAATAATTTGGGTTGGAAGGGACCTTAATGACACCTCGTTCCAATGCCCTGCCATAGGCAGGGACAGCTTCCAGTGGCCCAGGTTCCTGGTCTGTACTGATGGGATGATTTGTAAAAAGGCAAGGCAGTAGTATTCACTGTGGCACTTTGATTTCTACTCTTCTCACACTGCAGAACCTGATCCTATAAATGGCTTCAAAGTAGGCGAGCTCTACTTTAGGACCTGCCTATGAGTCAGCATAATTAAAGGTTTCAGGATTTTGCTTGCTTTTTCTTTTTCTTCTTTTTTTTTTTTTTTTTTTTTTTTTGGTAAATCACAACCTATTAAAACAAACTTGCA